CATTCAAAGTATATGAGGGATTCCAAAAAAACAGAGTTTGGAAAAATTTGCCATTCGAACAACGCTGGTCGATTCGTGATCGCGGTCAAGGTTATTGCTTTTGGCCAATCGCGTTCGTCCTTTTGGCTTGAACACCTAACACGCACTGCTTTCGCCCTCCCTTGGTCACGCATTGCCGCTATGCTTGTCTAGGTAAGTTCCACACAGCATCGTTACATTTCACATTGCTTTGTAAACTTGTCGGTAAATGAGAGGGAATTGAGGAGTACAAATACCTTAATTGAGAGAAACCGGAGAGAGGTGGGTGGGTGCAACATACATAAGGTTTTAAATAGCAGAATTCGAAGTGTACAAAAGCCCACTTCTCGGTTTGATGTAAACATCAGCCTCTTAGTACTTAAAACAGATGTTCCCACACGAAGGTGATTCGAAAATCGTGTGCTTACATGACTCGTTTGACTTAGTCAAAGTGTCAGACGGAGGCGGAGTGATGTGCAATCTAGATGTCCTTTTATACGTGATCCCCATTCTGTCGCCTTGCTGATGACCTCTGGATGCAATGATTTCCGAATGTATAAGCCAGCATCTAAAAAAGGGGATGAAACATTAGTCAGGCTCATGAAGGTGATGCTCCAACTCGTATATTTACTTACCTGACGGCGGTGATATCGTTTGGAGGGACCACTATGCACACCACACACGAATGCGTGATGGAAAATGAATAGTGGAAGGCAGGAATGAAGGAGGGAAGACGCCTTGCAATTGCCACATCCACGAAACATTTGTTTGGGAATGAAATTAAGACATTCTGGCAGGTATATTCGAAGTTACTCAGCTGGAAACTATACCTTTGTTGCAATTAGTTTGATGTTGGAGTACGTTGATTGTTTGTTAAACTTTCGGTTTTGGGAAGGAGCTACTTTGGAGGCTCCACCGCTGTACCTCCACTGAGTGGCCTGGCCTCCAGGAAACGCCAGTGGTCCCAAGTCCTACAGCATGTCGACAGTGCACATTCACCTCGGGGCAGTCTCTTGGCGACACAGACATCAACGAAGTAACTTTTCACTAATTGGCAGGTAAGTATGAAGCAATTGCTTAGATTTTGTAAGAAGAAAGGCCAATTTGAGGGTTGTGGGCTAAAATTGACCTTTATAAATAACTCTTATTGCCTGTCATTCAAGGCCAAATAGCTGCCATGTGTGTGATTTTAGTCGCTTGTGAATTGAAAGTAGATCGAGGGACGAGAAGCATTGACGAGCAGACGATTTTACACTTTGCTAGGTTTTATATTAAACTGATGAAAATGAAATACGCTATTTTGAATCTTGAATCTTTAAATCTTAGTCATCATAACGGAGCTTATTTCAGTTGTCAAAGCATTTGAGCAGTTTCAGGGGAGCTCAGAGCATGCAGGAACCTGCAATATGCATCCACCTGCTTATTCCCAGTTAAAAGCTCACCGGCGCCTATTGTATGCTTGCTAATGT